CTTAAAATAAAACACATACACACACACAATCAAAATCAACACCACCAATGAGAGACGATTGGACATCATATTACATAAATTATACGTAATTTTTCTTTCATTTTTACACGCAGGTAGCTTATTATATATAGTCTTTGTACTTTGCTTTTCCTTCCAAATACTATACTATCTCCTGGAAATCACTCTATACCAGTCAATGGAGATTTTCTTCTTTCCTATGCTGACAGCTATACGGTTCTCTATTTTGTGTATTTACTATAGTTTATTCAACCAGTCTCCTACTTCTGGACATTTAGATGGTTTTCAATACTTGGCAATTACAAATAATGCTGCCAAGAATATATATATTCTTGCATATATTGCTGGAAATAGAGCTTTAGGGTAAATTCCTGAGGAGAAATTGCTATGTCAAAGGATAATGTAATATGCAGTTTTGTTAGATACTGTCAAATTCCTCTCCATAGTTGTGCCATCTTGCATTCCTTTCAACAACATATGAGAGTACCTGTTTCCCCACAGCCTTGATAACAGAGCATGTTATCCAAGGTTTGAAATTCTTCACAAGTGAATGAGGAAGAAATGATGTCTTAGTGAAGTTTTAATTTGCATTTCTTTTAATATCAATGCCTGAATTTTTTTCAAGTGTTTAAGAGTCCGTTTTATATCTTTTTTTTGTCAATGATTGGTTCATATCTTTGGCCCATTTTTAAAGCTTATTTATCCTCAATATTTGTTAAGTTCTTTATCAGTCTTTATCTGTAATATATGTTGTGAATATTTTCACCTAGTTTATCATTTGCCTTTGACTTTGCTATTTTGTCATGCAAACTGCTTTTTATTTTTAGTAGTCAAATGTATCTATCATTGCTTTCATTGTATCTGGACACATACATTTGTTTCTTTTTTTAAAGATTTTACCTACTTATTTGTGTGTGTGCAAGAGAGAAAGAGACAGAGAGAGAGAACACAAGCAGGGGGAGCAGCAGGCAGAGGGAGAAGCAGGTTCCCCACCCAGCAAGGACCCTGAGATCATGACCTGAGCCAAAGGCAGATGCTTAACCGACTGAACCACCCAGGTGTCCCTGGACATGTATTTGTAAAGTTACATTTGTAGTAATAGTTACAGTATGTATGTACTATGACTATAGTATATATTATAGCACATGTATATGTGTATATGTACCATAGTATATGTATATATATAACTAGTTATAATATCTATACACAATAGTGTATATGTATGTACATATATAGAGATATATATAAATATAAATATGCACACACATATTATGTGTAAACATATAGTTAAATAAATATACCATTTTCTCAAGAGTTTTTGTCAGGAATGGGCAATGGATTTTGCCAAAGGCCTCTTAAGCATCTTCATCTTTTAAGATTAATTGTATGCTTTTCCTCCGAAGCCCTATTTATATGGTAAATTATATTATGAGATTTTCTGTTATTGAACCCTTCTCTCATTCTTGGTACACATAATTTTTAGGTAAGTTTTTCAAGTCCCATTACTATGTCTCAGTGCCTTTGTCTCTACTGACCTTGTCTCCCTGAAACCTTTTGAAAATATTACACTCTGTCTCTGAAATGATACCCTCTTCTTTGTTTCTCTTCCTTGCACATACTTTTATTTTCCTATGTGTTTATTTGTTTAAATGTCTGTCTCTCCCATTAAACTCTACACTCACTGAGGGTATGGAGGGTGTGGTTCTTATTTTTTAGATCAGTTTCTTGAGTGTGGAATGCATAAACCCTAAATGGCTATCCAAAAGAGGTACTCAGGAGCAGTGCTTGTCATACTTTTCTATTAACTAGCCACAGAAATTAAAATCAATTCCTATTAAAATTATGCCAGATTCAGATCTATTAGGCATCAAAGCATTCCCTTTGCATCAGTGCAACAGCTTTATGTATAAGAAAAATCCGATGCAACTCAATTATCTGTAAGAGTGGAATTATGCTGATCCACAAACTAGTGCAAAAATGGTTCTACCATAGATGGAATTCTCCAATCCCTTTTCCTCTTCCCATTCACCATGAACAGATATTTATGCCTTAATGAAAGAAAGTGCAGGATAGAGAGGCTAAGTCTTGTACATGGTTCCCAGGTTATCAGGTTCACCACCAAATCTCTCCTCACAATTCATGTAACTGTTATTTCATCCCCTCCACTCTGCCTTTCCAGCACTTTTGAGTATTTTCTGGTGACAGCTAAATGACATTATTACTGTAACCAGTTTTATTTGTCGGTAGGACTTCTTTGGACAGTAAATGGGGAGTTTCTGACAGAACTCAGGGCAAATGTGCACATGTTCCTGGCATTTACCAAGGGTTGCTGGATGCAGCCCATTCCATGTTCTCTCTCTCTCTTTTTTCTTTTAAAGATTATTTATTTATTTGAGAGAGAGAGCATGCACAAGCAGGGGGAGCAGCAGAGGGAGAGAAGCAGGCTCCCCGCAGAGCAGGGAGCCCGATGCGGGACTCCATCCCAGGACCCTGGGATCACGACCTGAGCCAAAGGCAGACGCTTAACTTACTGAGCCACCCAGGTGCCCCCATGTTCTCATCTTTACGTTGCGATCTTGGGTATGTTACTCTTCTCCTTTATTTTCCTCAGTGTGCCACCATATAATCAATCTCACAGAGCCTTTGAGCAGACATGAGGAGTCTGAGTGAGCAGACCAGGCAAAGAATGTAACAGAAGTTAGAAAACTACAGAGATGCCTGTTGGGGAGAAAAATTGTATTCAGTCATTTCAAAAGTGTTCTCTGGCCCTGATCTTACCTAAGGTCATAGTCTCCTGCTCTCTTTGGTCATGCCTTCCTGGCTGCAGCATGCTGCCTTGTTAGTAATCACAGAATCCTAGAAAAGAAGTCCCTTTGCAGAAGCTGGGAAATAAAATGTCCTGCTCTTATCGTCTCATCTTGTGTTTCTCCTTGGAACGTCAGCCCATTTCTGCCAGTTAATATCTTTTTCTCCCATGGGGGAACTTTCACTCACCATTTCAGCTGTCTCCGCTGGACACTCAAGCTTTGTCTGGTCAACACAGCCATGATTGCTGTTATCAAAAACTCAGGCTCTGTACGTCAGCCCTCAGAGAACAAAGTTTCTGTATTTCTGCACATTCAATCTTCAAGTTCAAGCCAAAGCCAACTCTCCTAAATCAGTGTGCCAAGAGGGCTGCCTTCAAGAACCTCTTGCTTGCTCAGAGCTTCTGAGACAATGCTCTTTCATTATCTCTGGCCTTGGTCAGATTCTCTAAACTTCTTTTGGCTTCTGATCTTGATTATTCTTTTTTCTTTTCTTAGTCATTTTTTTTTTTCACACTTCCTTGGCTATTCTACCTTCAGGGGTCAATTATTTCTACTTTTCTTTGTTTTCTGTCAACAATTTTTAGGCATTAAAAAAATCAATATTTACTTAAATGTACACAAAACATCTCTTGTCTCCCATCCAAGTACTAACCAGGTCCGACCCTGCTTAGCTTCCGAGATCAGACGAGATCGGGCACGTTCAGGGTGGTACGGCCATAGACAACATCTCTTGTCTATAGTAAGAGGAGACACCAAAACAATTAAATATTATGATATAATGGAGATTTATCACACCACGGACTGGAAATCAGAGATGGATTTCCATCATTTTGGCTCTTTCACGTCTGATTATGTGATGTTGGGCAACTCATATTTACATAGTATCTTAACTCCCTTTTTGTAATAGGACCTCTAATGCCCATCCTGGCAAAATGTTAATGTTTTAAAGACCTATAATGCAAAGTGAATTTGGTCAAGCCAACCATATGTTCTTCAGTTAAAACAAAACTTCTGCCGAATCAAAAAAAAAGTGACTATTTTTGACAAAGGCACATTTTATCTCTCATTCTGGGCACTTGCATTTGATCCAAAATATGCCTACCCCTGGACTTAACTGTATAGTTATTGCTATTGCTGCAACAATGCTGTAGAACAGTTACACAATTTCAGCAGCGTACAATAATATTTAATTCATGCACCTCTGAGGCAGGCCAGAGTTGGTTGGTCTAGACTGGGCTTGGCTTGGGTGGTTCTGCTTTGCTCTATGGGTCTCTCATCTTCTTGGAGCTGGCAGGCTAGCCTGAAAATGTTCTTCTCATGGTAATGGCAGAGAACCAGAGTGAGTCCAATCATACAAGCACCTTTCAAGCCTTGGCTTAGTCATGCCCATGATATTCCATTGTCCAAAACAAATCACATGGCCAAGCCCAAAGTCAAGGGGTGCTCATGGTGAAGGTGGATAAGAGGATGTTTCTGAACAATAATGTCATCTAACACACTGTGCTTTGGAAATAAGTGATGAAAATGCTTACACATGGCTTCTTCTCAGTAAAAACGAGGGCGGTGATGAAGACATCCAGAAACCTCCATGATTGGAGTCTAGTGTTGCTATTTCTTATGTGGGACAGAACTACATCCACCTCTCGGGAGAGGAGTTGCTGGTTTAAGATAGGTTCTATGGACTTACTTACACACAATTTTGAGGTGCAGGGGAAATGGTCATTTTAGTCAAATGAGGGAGATCAAAATCACAGCACTGCCTGAAAAGCAGATTTGGGAAAAATTCCCTCTGAACCACAGCATGAATATCCCTCCACGGGTAAGCAGCTGTTCCCTGTATTCACATTAGAGATGACTTTGCAAATGCTGACCAGAACTTATTTTTAAGACAAAACTGGGTCACTTCAAAGAGGAGCTGATATAAAAACACCATGATGTCAAAGGATAGACTGAAAAATCACATGGACTTGTGTTATACTGTAAAACTGTCCATCCCTTTACTGAAACCATCTCAACATCCTCCAACTCTGCTACTGTTACCCTAATACCTCTACTTGTATTCATGTCTCCTAATGAAGCAGTAAAATAAAGCCACAATGACCTGAACACAAATTACTGATGATTAAGTTGTATTAAATAAAAATAACTACATATGAAGCAACAGTCATATATATATGAAGTTAATCTTATTTATTTCTTGAGAATTAATGAGGAATCGAGGGTAATTAAGGCAGACAAACATTATTTTTCCATTCATTGGGCTGTATTAGTTATCTATTACTATTGTAACATATTATACCTAAAGACAGTGGTGCTAAATAATAAGTATTTGTTATCCCACACAGTGTCTGTGGGTCAGGAATTCAGAAGAGGTTAGCTGAGTGGTTCTGGCTCTCATGAGGTCCCAGTCAAAAGATCAACTGAGGTTGCAGTTAAGTAAAGACTTGAGTGGAGACTGGAGGACATGCTTCCAAGATGGCTCGCTCATATGGCTGGCTAGTTGATACTTGTTGTTAGCAAGAGGCTTCAGTTCCTTGACAGGTGGCCCTCCAAATAGGGCTGCTTGAGTGTCCTCACATCATGGCAAAGAGATTCTTCCAGAGAGAGTGATCAAAGAGAGATCAAGGCAGAAGCTACCATGTATCTTGTGACCTAGCCTTAGAAGTCACACTCTGGTGACTTCTGCATATCTTATCGGTTATACTGGGCCTGCAACTGGTACTCACAAGACTGTACAAGTGCATGGCCCTGGATTTGAATATCTCCTTAAATTTTATACCCTAGGTGTCTTCCTTGCCTTACCCTAGTCCTGGCCAGCTATATATAAGTCAGTTGCATTCACTATCAGAGGGGACTATCTAAGAGGCAAGAATCATGACGGACACATTAGAGGCTGGTCACCACAAGAAATAAGTACCTAACCGAGATTCTGATTAATGAGAAGGGACCTCCACTGGTTTCAGCAGTTCTCAACTTTGGCTGAACTCTCGAATCACCTGGAAGTGCTGATGCCTGGGCCTCACTCCACAGGGATTCTGATTTCATTGTTCTGGACTGGGACAGTCCTGATGTTCAAAAAAACTCAAAAAAACTCTCCAAGTTATTCACACATGTGGTCAGGGATAAGTACACTGCAAATGAATAAATGTTCCTTTTGAGACTAAAGTCGGTACAGCATTTGCCTGTCATATCTGGCAGCAACATCTGTTGCTCCTTCCTCGGGCAGGGGTGTTTGGGTGGTTTAGAGGAACAAGGAGCATCAGTAATTTATTCACTTAGGAACTCTCGTTGAATACAGAACAGGTTTGGCTAGCTAGGTTTTGTCTCTATTACCTATACATTCTGTTTGAACTATTTTTGTAAAAGATTGGTAGGAGCAGGATTAATTCATCAATGCTAGAATGATTTGAGCCTGTATTTATTTCAAGACAGATAAAAACATGCAGATTGGATGAACAGGAGAGTGCCCAGATGAAAAAGAGAATAATAGGAATTACAGGAGTTGGATTGGGGCTAGGTTGCCTGTTTATTCATGTAACAGTTTGGTAATAGTTTGATGTACCCACGCGCACACTCACACACACTCACACACACACAGAGGTAAAGCTGAGGATGAGACCACTCTTAGTTCATGTCATTTAGAGGCCAATGAAATGTTACCTATGTCTACTAGGCTACTTGGTTGTTGGCTAGTTTTTTCCCTTTGACCCCTCCTCATTCCATGGGGCAGGATGCTGGGCAGAACATGGTGGGAGGAAGGGGGACTGGGACTGGTGTCTTGTGCAAGGTATTAGGATTTTCTCTAGTGAAAATAAGCAAAATATTTTCAGTACAAAGACTACCTGCACTTATTTGGAACTCCTGCTAGAACTTTCACATTTTCTTCTTTTTGTAATTTTCCTAGGGAATGCAACAAACCTCAGAGATGATCATACTTTTGGCAAATAGTTTAGAATGTTGGCAGATACCCAAATAGAAGAGGATCTGGCATGGACATATGCTTGAAACCACTGTCGTCACCTCAGTCAGAGAACTAAAGTGAAAAATAAAAACACTGCAAGTACTTTTTAATAACAGCAGCCTAATTTGCACTTTCTACATAAGCGAGAACATTCCTACAGATCGCATTGGGTATGAGCATGACTTCGCCTCTCATTCTTGCTCAATTTCAGGCACGTGCAGATGAAAGAGGCTGAGTTGCTGGGAGAACAGGTCATTCACTTCTGACATCCATTTCAGCTGCAGTACAGGCTTGGCTAGAGGGCAATTATATTAATAAAGCACAATATCCACCTTCTCACAGGATTCTAGCAGAATTCTGTACGGCAAAGTCTCAAGGGTGCTAGAGTGTCTCCATCTCATGACAAGGCAGATCACTTCCAATGGACTCTTGAATGCAAGTGTACTTGATGGGAGGTGGAGGTGGCTTGAAAGGCGGGGGTCTTTCCATGCTAGGAACAAAACATTGCTCTTTCAATGCTAAGAATGTGAGGCGGTGATTCAAGGAAACAGGAAAGTAGGAAAAAGAGAAAAGACATGCCCACCAGTCCCCTCAGAATTTTTCTGTCTGCTTATTAGCTGTGTTATGATAATATCATTAATTAATATTTATATGGTATTTTATGGTTTGCAAAGCATTTTTATCATAACATTATTTAATTTGTATCTAGAGATTGGACATTATTGTCACCATTCTATAGATAATACTGAGGCTCAGAGGTCTTCAGCAACTTGCCAAAGAGAACCAGACCAGCAATTCTGGTCTTTTAACCAGAACCCATATTCTCCATGGAAACTGCCTCCTAATAGAAGAAGTGTTCCTCTTATGTGGGTTAAAACACTCCTCCAGAGACAAAATTTTTAAATTCTGGGACTAAAGACTGAAGGTTTTCAAATAATCCCTTTGCCAACTTTACCCCCAGCCTTCACCCACACATTTACTGTATACTGTGAGGATAGGGTTGAGGTGGGAAGAAAAGCTCTTCTAGATCCTTGAATTGGTTGATACTGGATGGTTAATGCAGGAATCCCTTACATTTGAATCAGCGAACAGTCTTAAAATCATCTTTATATGAAGTACTGTTAGCACAACTAATCTCTTTGTCTGAAATGCATCAGGCATACATGTGAGTTTGGGATTTAGCTGTACGAATATTCCAGCTCTCTTGATATCAAGACGCCAGAAATTCATCTGTGAGCAGATTTCTGTCCTTGACTCAAACATCTCCACCCCTTGTTGGTAAATCCATAGCACCTTAATTTCTCCAGAGAGATAGAGATGGACATGGACATGGAGAAGGACACACACACACACACACACACACACACAGATTCTCATCTCTATATAACACAAACATTTGAATACAGAATAAAAAAAATCCATTCAAAATTTCAGATTCCCATTTTCTCATTTTAATAAAAATATCTAATGCCTATTACCTGTTTTTTTCTGATGCCTCGATGCAGACAATATATTTCAACAGGTAGATAAAATTGTCAGAAATTTGTACTTCTGTTTTTTCAGGGAAATTATGAAGTCCTCCAGGTCATATGGTAGCCGAAGTGTAGTCCTTGGACGAGAGTCCAGCATTTCAGACTACCGCTTTAGCGTGTGTTTTTTCTTTTTTTAAGATTTTATTTATTTGACAGAGAGAGCACAAGCAGAGGGAGAGAGAGGGAGAAGCAGGCTCCCTGCTGAGCAATGAGCCCAATGTGGGACTCGATCCCAGGACCCTGGGAACATGATCTGGGCCGAAGGCAGCCGCTTAACCGACTGAGCCCCCCAGGCGTCCCTAGCGTTTTGTTTTTCACCATGAACACTCACTGCACAGTGGTTATAGAGTCTTCGAGGACAGTCTAAGTCGAAGGTACTGCACAGTGGTCACTGGCATCTTAGAGAGCAGCAGCAGAAGGAGTGGAAGAGTAGCTCTGTATGCTGTAGGGGTCTCCTCCAGTCATGGTCTACTCTGGATCCAAAATAGCCAAGTCAGAAAAGCGAGGCTTAATCTGACAAGTCATTTCAGATTGCGGAGTGGAGGGAAAAGAATTTTGGAATATATTTCAATAAGACAAAGGAGGGGTAACCCACTGTTGACTTTCTTTTGCCCTGGGGGAAAAAGGAAAAGGCTGGTAAAAGCCCATTCTGCTGAAAAGCAGCTGGAGTTTCTTTCTTTCTTTCTTTCTTTTTTTTTTAAAGATTTTATTTATTTATTTGAGAGAGAGAATGAGATCAGAGGGAGAAGCAGACTCCCTGCTGAGCAGGGAGCCCGATGTGGGACTCGATCCCAGGACTCCAGGATCATGACCGAAGGCAGTCGCTTAACCAACTGAGCCACCCAGGCGCCCAGCAGCTGGAGTTACTTAAAATTACCTTTCTCACTCCATTTCACACTTGAGAATCTGGGCCCAGATGGGCCCAGGCAGTTCAGAGATGCATGAACATGAAAAAGTAAGGAAGATTAAAAGAAAAATCAATTTTAGGGTTTGAGGTGAGGCAAGGCTCAGTTCTCATTTCATGCTCACTGACTTGTTCTATCTGACGAATGTCAGAGACCGAACAGGCAGAGGGGGACACTGAGTCAGAGGTTGCGCAACTCATCCCAGCTGGGTGGTGCTGGGCAAGCTGTGGAGCTTCTCTGAGCTTCTCTGAGCACCCTTTCCTCAGTTCTTTTTTTTTTTTTTTTTTAAAGATTTTATTTATTTATTTGAGACAGAATGAGAGAGGGAGAGAGAGAGCACGTGAGAGGGGGGAGGGTCAGAGGGAGAAGCAGACTCCCCGCCGAGCAGGGAGCCCGATGCGGGACTTGATCCAGGGACTCCAGGATCATGACCTGAGCCGAAGGCAGTCAGTCGCTTAACCAGCTGAGCCACCCAGGCGCCCCACCCTTTCCTCAGTTCTATATGAGAACTCTGTATAGGAGTGATATTTAAAGTGCTGAGTGAATGTGTTGTACTGAAAAAGTGTCTCTGTTCCTGCAGATTCAGGAACAGAATTATACTCACATTTCCTTCTGGTATTGACACCATTTTCTCACTCCAAGACCAAACAATGCTATGCAGAAAGAGAGCAAAGCTGCTACAATCACCGGCCAGGACATTCCATCTTTAGGTTTATTGGCCACAATACCTGCAAAGGGCATAAAGAGGGATGAACTTTAATGCCAAACTTTGGCAATTAGAAAGCACGATGAATTGAACTCTCTCTCTTACCCGTTTTCTCCACGGGCCATCACGGACCACAGTCATGCTCTGGGATCATATCTATGCCTTGTTCTCACTTCTGTTTTTGCATGTCTGCAGTTACTTTTTATGTGAATGTCTTTCTTGTTAGAATGTTCCAGAATGAATTTTTTTTTTCTTTCATTTTCCCAAGGTCCTGGACAATCCCTGGCACATGATGGCCAATGAAATGTCATTTGTAAGAATGAATAAATAAAAGGAGTAAGCTCTAAATCTGTATTCCAGATTTACTCCAGTAAAGGAAACTTTATGTGAAATAATGGCCTAGCTTTGATTCTCTTATTCTTTAAGAAGCCATTAAATGCTTTATGGAATATTAGTGTATTAGGAGGAGGAAGAAAGAGTAAAAAGCATTATAACACTATAACATTCCAGTGCCCTGAAAATCCCAAACTGAAAAGTCCTGGCTACTACGTATCAAGTTGTAGTGCTCAAAAGATCATCATCCAAGACTTTTCATTTGGATGTCATTCGAGGAATGATATCCAGAATAGAGATTTTCTAATCCTTTCTACCACCTCCCGTTTTTTCTTTCTTTCCCCTTTTACACATTTCAGCAATAGAAAGGAGAGAAGTGACAAAAGGGGTAAAACTGAAACCAGTTATTTTGCTCTTTCTATGGTCTGCAAAGGGAGGAAGTCAAAAGTAAAGGGCTGGGAGAAATTATATTGGTGGGTGATAAATGGACTGATTTTTCTTACCCCTTCTGATTATATCCACACTCAATTCATTCATTCATTTCTAGCATTTGTACACCAAGTCAAACTGTGTGAATCAAAGACTTTCAATTATTGTTGATTTTAGACCAGAGGCCATGTAAATATCATATTCTGGACTGTTTTACCTTTTTTCTAACATGAAGGAAGAATTAAGAAAATTCTCTTAGGAAATAAGGTTGTCAAATTCTACTGCAGGGAATAAAAGGGAATGTTTATAATTACATAGTTACTTAATATTTTCCTTTTTAAAAGGACTGACTTCAGATGCCAGCTATCCATATTAGAGGCAATAACTTTTAATAATTAATTATGTATCTCACTGGACTCTTCTATGCATATATAAACATATATATGTATCATGAATATACATCTTTTTTTCTTAGAAATGAGGGCAATACATATTGTTCTGTCCCTTGCGTCTTTCTTTTTTAAAAAATGCTCTTGGAATACTTTCCACGAAAGTGCAAAGAGATTTACCTTCTTTGATTAAATCAGTGGATAGTTCCCCAATGCATAGATGTATCATGGTTTATTTAATTGGTCTCTTAATGTTCGAGGGTTAAATTGTTTCAGGCTTTTGTTATTTCTAACAACACCCCAGTGAAATTCCTTATACATTATGGATAGATCTTTAGCTCTTCAGATTATTTAGGTCATTTGGGCAAAAAGTCCATTTTGAATCAGAATTATCTGGATTGATTTTCTAGATTGTGAACTGTTTGTAGGTGGAGACTGGGTTTTTATTTTCTTTTATTGCCTCATATTTATTACAGTGCTTTTTATAAAGCAAAGTCTCAAAATCCATAGGCCAAAAAAAGTGGATTGAAAATATTAGTTACCAAATCTTTTCGATATTTAGCATAGGTTGGACCACAGCAATATGATGTTGTTATGTTTATAACACATATCCAGACACTTGGGGTCTTTCTGATGCTCACCCAACATCAGCCTAGTCTAAGCAGATGCTGAGTACTCTGGAAGCCCACGTAGTCCTATAATACATACCCATATGCTATGTTGTATGTGCAGGTGACTAGTTCACACTAGTTCATGGTAGTAGTGGAACTGTGAAAGACTAGAGTATCATGATCATAAAAGAAACAATCATACAGATGGTCAACCCAAGCTACACAAAGTACTGTTTCAGTCAAGTCAAAATTTACTAGGCTCTATACACTGATAACATGGTGGGATATAACATTTTAGCCCTCAAGTTTCAGAGAAGTAAAAGAACAAAAGGTTTTAAATGGGTTTTACATCAATGCTTAAAATTTTTCTCCCTACCACATATAGAAAATGAGACCACTGACTTCAGGAATATCCTAGTGAAGAAGCAGAGCTCCAATCTTGTCCCTTCTCTGAACTAGGCAGTTTTTTAAGGCACCAATATCTGAAAAGCATTGGTAGAACCTTAGTTTGTTTTATTGGCATGTTGTATGCAGCATGATGCTCCAAAGATCTGAGGACTAGATGACCTTCGATATAGAATAAGCTGAGTATTCAAGTGGAGTGTTCACCAGTCAAGAGAACACCCCCTGAAGTCAAAGAGTTGATTATGTCTCTGAACTTACAATCAAGACCTGGGATGGGAGGGTCTTGACCTCTTATGATATAAAACAAGAAATTATATTCAGTATTGACAAAATTTTATTAGTTTAATTATGGAAATACTCTTTGTTCCAACAATCTTTCTTGTCTCAGATATATTTTCATAGGATAGAATGTTTCTCACTACTTTTCACCTGGCTAATTTTTATTCATTTTTCAGATTTTAACTTAAGTAGATCTTAGAGGCTCCTTTCCTGTTGCCAGTTAAAATTAGATCTTTCTGTTACATTCTGACAATCCCTTATACTATATCATAGTATCTGTCACAAATAAATTTAATTATATGATTACTTACTTATGTATATTATCTTCAATAGATTATAATCTTCAGAAGGCCTGTGTTTTCAAGGTCTCTTCTGTATACAAGACAAGAAAGATCTACTTCTTTCACAGTGTATACCCAACAACTGGTACAGTGTCTGGCAAATGGTAGGTACTCAACAAATATTCGCTGAGTGAATAAAACACAAAATTTAGAAAAAAGTAAATGACTCACCAGTGATATGGATGTGAATATTTTTTGTCGATCCATTGGCAGTTGTGGGAACCTCTGAAAATGTTCTGGTTGTGCTGGTGAAGACATCACCTAGGGATATACAGGGGATATCGGAACTGATCCTAATAGCCATCTCAAACCAATGAAGTGGTGTAAAATCATGATTGGATTTCACTCGCTATTAGGAAGAGCTCAATTTTAATGGCCTAAATGCTCCTACAGTACTACGTATACAGTTTACTAAGGACCAATTTACAGCAAGGCTTGGACCTTAGAATCTAATAACTACCAAAGAAGTGAAACTCTCTATTGGTTTAAAGAAGAAAAGAGAAGCTGTACAGCACACATAACAAAACAATATCTGCTAAAGAATCCCCATGAGAAATTTAAGTGGTTATGGGAAAATGTCTTATGTTGGAGCCACAGAAAAATGGGCCCTTTCTTATTCTCCCAGGGTATCAGAGATTCAGACAATCAAATGCCAATTCTCCCACTATAATGTGTTTGATAAGGTAATAAAACTTCCTTTGCAACATTTTAGTAGACAAATCCGTGTTGACAAATCATCTCAATTTCTAATGAAAATGCAATTTTAATGGATTTAATTAGCCAGGAAATGCTATTTTGTAGATTTCATTTTGAAATAAAATAGAGGAAAAAAAATCTAGGACTTGGTCTCTGACTAGCTTCTTTGAGTGACTGTGGCTGGGAAAAATTTTGGTTTTATTTATTATCATTTTCATCATCAAGGTGTACTTTTCAATACCTATCTGAGATCGGTTTCTTACCAGTTCTTGTTTTTCCACCTTTGCCCAAATAAAGCAGACCACTATCTCTCCTGACCCTAAATCTCCCCCCAAGTACTCACCATGAATTGTTGAGCTTGCACCTGAGGGGGATGAACTATATGTTTCACTGGGCATCCATGAAGCTGCTAAAGAAGATATTGGAAGAGTCAACCTGTATAAGACTAGTTATTTTATTGTCTCTTCTTGACTTTTAATTGAATCTAATAGTTTATAGTGAAATAATAAAATGAAAAAAAGGTTATTAATGAATATGTAAAGCAAAATCACTGAACTATTCTGCTGCACACATTAGAATGTCCCAAAATAAAGTGGGAGTTGAGGGAAAACTTGTGATCCTGATGTCTCAAATAGGGGAGGTTTTGATTATAGCCACTTAGAAGCAGGAAGAAGAAATGGAAGCAAAACACTAGGAGAGGTTTCTCTAGCCACAGAGAGTGTGTTGTGACTATTCTCGTGTCCATCCAATATATGGGAGAGAATGAAAGCCTAGGTGTGTTATGGGGGCCTTTAGTCAAGCAAAGGTGCCAAAAGGACTCTGAAGACCTTGGTAGAACATGCATGAGGGAACAAAACAGTTTGTACTTGTGCATAAGCTGATATTTTTGTTTGGCTCTGACAACTGAACTGTGTCAACAGTGAATTTTCAGACCCCTCTAGTCACAGGCCTCGCTAGCTGCTGTGCTGAGTTGTCTTGATGGATTCAGAAGCAAACCTTCCCCTTGAGTGGATGGCAGCAAACTCAGGCAGTACCTATAGCTTTTGGAGTAGATCTATCAACCGATTTTGTTTAGTTCCCCATCTCTGGCAAGAAAGTTCCACTTCTTGGCAGGCTCTGCATTTCTGTATTTGACAACAGGCCTATAATGCAGTGTAAAGTAAAATAGCTATAGTTACACGTAGTTGCGATCAGTAGAAAAAGATTATGCTCATTTATTTAAAACATTAGCATGTATGATTTTCCAAGTTAAGTGCTTTCTTGTGTGTCAAGACCAAAACAAATAAGCAAAACCAAACCATACCAAAACAAACATTGAAAAAACCCCCCCAAACCAAAAACCCTTAGTCCTCCCCTTTCTTGGTTTCTCCCTAGATGCCAATGGCAGTTGCAGCTGTAGACATTATCAGGCCCTTCAGGAGAGGTATAACTCCATGCTTTCCAGGGACTGCTCACAGTACAGTCTGCCATAGGCAACTGACTTGGGGTCACCCCAGAGGTAAGGGCAGTTTTATACACAGCTATTTTGAATTGGACTAGGTCAGGGAGATGTTCTTATTTTCAGTATAATTATCTGACCCTGAACATGTGGTCTTCACTACTTTTTGTTGGTGCTGTTCTAGACAGAATACCAGGGTCAATAGATGATGGACTGAGTGTTTCAAAAGCCCATTTTTAAAGGCTAAGCCTTAATGGTGGAGATTTGACTAACAAAGAACAGCAACTAATTAAAAAGAAATTGGGACTAGGCCTGGATTTAGGTAGGATTACGAAGAACCTTACAAGATATTTTGCCCAACATGGTGCCTCCTTTACTTGTTACTTTTAGGGCTTGATACCTTTATTTTTTATCTTTTCGAAGTCTGTTTGCAAGAAAGGATGTGATAAATTAATTTATGCTAAGATACAAATAGTTGAACAAGTGCTATCCCTTTGAGGTAACTGGGTATTTCATTTTTTCCATTTCATATTTATCTCATCAGCAAGTAAATACAGAACATTGTTTTTAAGATTTTATTTTTAAATAGTCTCTACACCCGACTTGGGGCTCCATCTTACAACCCCAAGATCAAGCATTACCTGCTCTACCGACTGAGCCAGCCAGGCGCCCGAATACAGAACATTTTGTAATTGTCAGTTACATGCAGGTACCCACAGTTTTCTCACCAAATATAGACTGCCAATCTTTTCTGCTCAGTATTAATTTTCCTCAGGCAAAATAACCAAGCATAGCACAATTTCAGGAGATGGTGGTACCATCAGCATGATCCATCCAAATGACAAAAATGGCAGTATTTAAAAATATGCAAATTCGTTGACCACTTTTTAAATCTTCCTTCTTACACTTCTACTCCTCAGAAAATGTGTGATAAAATTAAGCTACAGAATCCACTTTGGAAAAGCAGGGAGTTATTTTTCTAGTTTTGGTTTTAAGATTTGTTTTTAATCTGTTAAAAAATATAATGGGAGTGTGTTGATAGAGGTGAAGAAAAAGGAGGTTCCAGTTGATGGATTCAACATGTCTGAAAATACTTAAGTAATATAAAGAAAAAACTTCAAGAGGGAGAATGTATTATACCTGAGTCTTTCAGCAAGATGAAGAGATGAGCAATTCTTGTATCAATTGCCCCCACAGGAAAGAGGTCTTCCTGAAGAATCCTCAGTAAGATAGAGTTGGCTACTTCTAAAGATGCATCTTTCACTAACATAATACTTTTCTAAAAGCTTATCCACTCTATCACTTAGATATCCAATTTTCAGAATGTGCTCCACATTGGCTATTCGATCTGTCATTCTTAAGTTTCCTTGAGAGTCTCTCAGCAGAATTATGTTTTTATGTCTTTTAATTGATTGAAATATTTTGTGTTCTTTATACTACCATTCTGTTTGTTAAATACATTAGTTATTTTTCCTTTAAATCTTTTGAGACTCCATTTTCATCAAAATCCATGAATAAACAGTACTTTGACATTTGGATGATAAACACCAGCTTGATGGATAACCTTCTTGAGTACATCACCATTATCAGCTGAAAATACGAACACAAGGATGCTGTGTTGCCGGAATTTCTCAAATAAACTTTTATATCCTTCCTGAAGCATAACACTGGATTCTTCAATTTATTTAAATTTATCATTGGATGAAGCTTATTCAACAAGGAAACTATGTGCTTTAGCATGTCTTTATACCATAAAGGGATATTTCATCCTACGGTAAAAACAGAATCAATTTTGACAACATGCAAAAACTTTCTTGACATTCTTTTGTAACCATTTTACAGTGGGCAATACTATTATGACATGTTGGGCATCTTTTCCCTTTGTAGGAAAATGTACTTAGTGTCATATCAAAATCCATGGTTACCTGAGGTTTGATAGCTCCTTTTTTGATCAAACTACAGATAATTTCTGTTACTTTTACAGGGCAAGCTGATGCAAGCTGAACTTTTCTGGAATTTGGACATCATCTTTACACGTAAATTTACTGAGACTTGTCTCAGTTATCCAATCTTTCTTAAGACATTCTGAGTTCTTCTGTTCTTGGTTTTGTCCTGGAATGATGGCATGGGTGGCAAGCAATATTCAGAGATGCAGGACTTGGGTACAGGAATCTCAATGATCTTGGTTTTCTGCCCCATCCTCCTCTTCAGGGTGAACATGTACTGGGCCAGCACCACCCCTTACACCAGGATGCCCATGCTGACACCAGCTACCCTGTTTGTTCTTGCCATGACCACTTCATCTATAGATGGGACCCTCATGCTCTTCCTGACCATGGAAAAAAGATGACACTCATGATCTTTGGAAATGCAGGGCTTGTGTGCTAGCTGTGGAGAGACTCATGAAACCCCCAGAACTTGGTGTTTTAACAGACAATAGAAAATAAAATCGGAGAAAGAAATCTTGAATTTGTGGTTGACCTAATCAGGAACCAGGTAACAACTGGAGAACAGTGTTTTAGAGAAGAGGAAAGTAGAATGAGAAGTGATCTGAGACATATAAGATTTTAGAACTTGAGGGCAAGAGTGGTGAGTTTAGAGACTCAGCATCGCAGCCAACAGGGAACAGCAGGGCTTCGGGGATGATCCTATAGCCTGAAAGAAGAGCAGGGCCCAACATTGCTGTAGGTTCTGGCATTGCTATGTCCCTGTAATTGACTCTCAGCCGCTCAACTCCAGCCTCTCCATCCCTTCTGCCTATGGAAAGTAGAAGGGGTTGCTATGAAATTATTAGGCACAGCTACCAAGGGCCTGAGAAGAACCAACCAGGACCAGGGACAGGGTAAACAATGGAATTGCAAGATTTACAAAGAAGAGTAGATAAATTTTGAAGAATAAGGAATGTATGGTCAAAGAACAAAATAAAGACGCTATGTGAGGTCTTTAAGATGTACTCTGAGGCCCAGGTGTGTGTGTGTGAGTGTGTGAGTGTGTGTGTGTGCGTGCGCACATGCGCGCGAGTGTACACACATGCATGGACACATGTGGTGAGGTAATGATACGCTTGCTGATTTTGGTAATGGGGCAAATTGGAGGCAAAGGAGCCTATGGAGACTCATATCATTTTTCTGCTTGTCTAACTTAGCCAGAGTGACTGATTTCAATGTGGCTTTAGGCTCCACTGGACCAGATGGATGGCAGGGAAAAACAGAAAGAAAAAAGTAATTAAGCTTCACTTTTCTGTTCCATGGCCTGATCACCTGAGTGTCAGGATGAAAATATCCCAGGATGTTATTAACCTTATATACTTGGGTTATTTAGGTGGTCAGATTTGATATCCCCATTTCATAGGTGGTTAAAGTAAAATATGCATTTCTGTTCCAGGCTGTTGGAAACTTGGAAGCTGAACTAGGATTAGATGCTAATATTCTAAAGTTGATAAAATGACAACAAAAGAATATATTAAAACACATACTTATAAATTTAGTGTAAATGCAATGCACCCAGAATCTTCTAGTGACATCCAAATATATGTAAGCTACACAAAATGCATGTATAAGCAAATATCCCATTAGAATGTGCTCACAAATTGCAAGAGCTTTAGAAACACTGCTAGTGGGTTTATTTCACCAGAAATCCATCCATTATCATTCTTTTTCTGCCTGTGAACATTTCATAAATCTATTGAAATAAACACACTGGAAGGAAAAAAAATCCCATTACCAATGCCTGTCACGAATCTTGCCAAATGCATCATCTTATTGGATGTCACAACACAGTCCAATCCAACGAGTAGAAACACGTTTCACAAATAGTTTGGGAGTGAGCAATCAATATTAACTTGTTGGATCCTAATGTGTTTTTGTGAATGATTATAAATAGAGCAACTTCCTGCAGGGAATTTTTTTCTCTAAGCTTACAGATAAAAAATGGCAACTAGTAAACAACATATTCTTATTTGCATAAGTAAGAATGTGAGTTTTCACAGTGAGGAAAATTTTGTTTGTTGGGTTTTAGAGTCCCTTCCTAGATTTCACAATTTCTAAGGCTATTTCATGGTAAGAATGATAAAGAGATGTCTGAGGATAAATGAAGTTTTCAAGTGGGGTAGGACAGAAGATATGAGGCATTGCAGTAGTTCATTTCATTATGAAATCTACTAAAACGACCAAGAATATACTTGTGTAAATTATAAAGCACTTTCATGCAAGACCTTTCAGTTTTCCAATTTCTGGGGCAGAAAATATTTTGGGTGGCCTCTATGCTTCATAATGATATGATGCATGGAATGAACAGGATTTCTTTTTTATTCTGGGCACACATAATAGTGTAATAACAATTGAAATAAAGCAAACAAAAAGTTCAAAAATTCCATTTATGCAGATCATTTCTTTTCACTGTGTACGTTTGTGTGTGTTTTCTTCCTTGTCCTTGTCCATATGTACACATATTCTTTCAATTGTTCAAGAAATATTTGCTGAGCACCTCTTGTATGCCTGCCACTGCTACAGACATTATGATTACTACAGTGAGCAAGACAGGAAAAGTTTTACGTCCCTGTTATTGTGTATCTTACATCTCAGCATAATTTCAACAAAAAAATCAAATAAATAAAATAAAGAAAATCATCAGACACCAAGTATTATGCTGAGATTGAAAATATGGGATAATTTATATGTAATCATAGCATAAATTTAAATTGGAATTCAGGGATGCCTGGGTGGCTCAGTCGGTTAAGCGTCTGCCTTCCGCTCAGGTCATGATCCCAGGGCCCTGGGATGGAGCCCTATGTCAGGCTCCCCGCTCATCGGGAAGTCTGCTTGTCCCTCTCCCCCTTGCTCATGCTCTCTCTCTCACTATCTCTCTTTCTCTCTCAAATAAATAAATAAAATCTTCTAAAAAATAAATAAGTTGGAGTTCAGCTTTATCCTATACTATTGTCTAATAATCTTTTTTTATTTATTTTTTATTTTTTTTTTTAAGATTTTATTTATTTATTCATGAGAGACAGAGAGAGAGAGAGACACAGAGGCAGAGGGAGAAGCAGGCTCCCCGTGGAGCAGGGAGCCCGATGCGGGACTCGATCCCAGGACCCCGGGATCATGACCTGAGCCGAAGGCAGACGCTTAACCGACTGAGCCACCCAGGCGTCCCTATTTTTTATTTTTTTGAAGATTTTATTTATTCATTTATTTGAGATAGAGAGAGAGAGGTGGGAGGAGCAGAGGGAAAGGGATAAGCAGACTCCACACTGGTCATGGAGCCCAACACAGGGCTGGATCTCACAACCCTGAGATTATGACCTGAGCCGAAATCAAGAGTTGGAAGCTTAATTGACTGAGCCACCCAGGAGCCCCTCCAAAAATCTTTTATCACCATTGCTACAGAATTTCCCTCTACAACCAACAAGTATTGATTCATTTATCCATTCAACAATATTTGTTGAGCACCAACTATATGCCAGGCATTTCCTTAGGTACTGGGGATAAAGGTAAGCAACAACAACAACAAAAGATATGGAACTTGTATTATACCATTGAGAATAAAGGATGACAAACTAGTGTAGGTAAAGGAGAGTTTCAGTATAGTTCATTACAAACTCAATTTTATGTTAACACCATATAGGATAAATGTTAGTCTGTTAAGTATGGACTTTCATCCCCAGTCTAACTAATATATTTTATTTTCAATTTATAACCGAGGGCTGAAAATTGTCTATACAATAAGATGTTCTGGCTAGCTTAGTACATTATGTCTATTGCTTGGATTGGCTTCATAACATTGCATTGAATTATTATCTAATCCTATTTTACATTCGGATATATTTTTCTTTAACACTCTCTCACCCCCACTCTTATACACAGATTGTTGGACTACTGTAAGTAACATTATGTCTTCTCCCTGGCTCATCCCTTGTATGCCCATTCCAAAGCAAATGCTCTTCTGAATGTTCTGTCTATTACTCACTTACTTATATAGTTTTTAAGTTTTTATCACGTTTGGTTGTACTTGCTTTAATAATTTATATAAAAATCTCATTCCAGGGGTGCCTGTGTGGCTCAGTCAGTTGGGCGTCTGGCTCAGATTGCAAACTCAGGGCCATGAGCTCGTGCCCCATGTTGGGTTCCTCTCTCAGTGCAGAGACTGCTTGAGATTCTCTCTCCTCCCTCTGCCTCTTCCCCCTACTTGCGCTCTCTCTCTAAATAAATAAAATCTTTAAAATATATATATATCATTCCATATATTGTCACCTAGCATTTACTTTTCTGACTCAGCACAATGTTATTAAGATCCATTCATGCTGTTATGTGGCTGTCATTCACTCATTTTTCATTGTTCTGTAATATTTTATTATATGACTATGCAACAATTTATTTGTCTATTCTCTTGGCTATGATGATTTAGGTTATTTACAGTTTCTGCTATTATGAATAGCGTTTTCCCCTGACATTTGTGTGCACATCTCCTGGTAACATGTACTAGCGTGTGTGTAGAGGGGTGGACTATATATCTAGGAGTGGAATTGTTGGGCTGTAGGATATGAAATTGTTTGGCATTAAAATACCATGTCAAAATGGTGGAAAGTGATGGTACCAACTTGTACTTTCACCAGCAACATCTAAAAAATTATATTGATCTACATCCTATCTAACACTTGATAATTCCAGACTTGTTAATTTTTGCCGATTGATGATATGTGAAATGGTTATCTGATTCTCGTCTTCGTTTGCATTTCCTGATTGCCAGGGAGGCTAAGCATCTCTTTGGATGTTTTCTAGCCACCGCATTACATCTTTTGTGATGTGCCTCTCTGCTCATTTTCTAATGTTTTTATATTTTTAAAAATTGATTTCTAGCCATTCTTCATATACTTGATATAAAGTTTTAATTCCTTGTCAATTATATATTCCTGATCATTTTTCAATTACATATGTTGCAGATATCTTCTCCTACACTATAGCTTGCCTTTTTTTTTTTTTTTCACTTCTGCTAAGGTGTCTTTTGATAGAATTTTCTTAACTTTATGGTATTCTAATGTTTCCCTCATTTTTATGGTTAGTGCTTTATGTCTCTTCTTTAAGCCCTTCCTTACCCCAAAGCCAGAAAGAAATTCACCTTTATTTTATTACATGCTTTAATGTTTGCTTTTGACATAAAGATCTCATATTCTATGGAGCCTATTTTAATGTAATGTGCATGACAGGCATACATTTTAATACCTTTTTTTCTTATAAATAGTCAAGGTTTGCAGATCCCTTTGCTGATTGCCTTCTCTTTTCACAGGAATCTGCCATGTTGCCTCTGGCATCTCTAGATTATGCTTATTTGTGATCTCTGGGTGTGCTCTCTCTTCTGATCCTCCCCTTTTCATCTCTCGTATTTGGGCACTGAATTCACAGGTGTCTGTTACATTATTAACGTATTTGTTAAAAGACACATGTTAAAATAAATTATAGAGGGTCATACACAAACGGTCAAAGTGTGTCATGAATTAAGGATTATGATTAATCCAGATCTGTGAACCTGAGGTCCATAAAGGAGATAAAATAAGTAACTAATGCGACAAAGAGCAACATTATACATGTTCCCTTTGCTCTTTACTTCCTGAGGACACATTCCCAGCAGTGAGATGACTGAGCCAGCAGGTATAAAAGACTTCTAGAGGCTCTAAATGTACAACTTAAATGCTAGCATTTACTCTTTGTGGCCAAGGGCCTAGCAGTTAAACCCAGAGTTCTGCAGCAGCGGCATCCGGGGTCTTTGCCGCAGCCACATCCCCTGCCACTTCCCTAACCACGCAGATCTCCATCTTGTACCACTAGGAGGCAGTATACTTCCTCTTCAGATGCTGTGGCTCCCTGCTGAAGCAGCATCAGCACACACTGCTGCTAGGTGGCCAGAGGCAATGGCCAAACCATTTCTGTGCCTCGCACCGGGCTCCCTCTTCTCACTGCTTTTCGTGATACGTGTATTCTGGCTGGTTCACTCTCTCCTCCGATATCCTCATAGTTTGCTCTCTCTTCTCCCTGGGTTAGATCTTTACTCAGATGTCACCTTGCTCAGGAAGGCCTTGCAAAACCACCCTACTTAAAATGGCAGCCCACTCTCCCACCTGATCCTCAATGTCCCCCTCCACTGCTTGCTTTGTTCCCTATCGCTCATCACCATTTGCTTGTCTCTCTTCCCCCAGAATTTGGAACTTAGATCCGTTTTGTTCACAGATGTATCCCCAGCAACTACAACAATGCTTTAAACACAGTAGATGTTTTGTAAGTATTTGTTAATATGATTATGAGCGGAGCACGTCGTAGTTGCTCATTATACGTGTTGGATGAATTAATGAGGCCCAGAAGACCCCAAGGGACTCCCAGTTACACTTACAGTTTTGGGTATCTTGCCTGCTGGGGGTCCAGGAGTAGTTGAAGCCTTGGGTAGTCACACTGGAATTGCTGGCTGGAAGACAAAATTCTCAGAATCCAAACTTCTGATACAGCTGTAATTTCACTTTACTTTGATGTGCTGAATTTTTTATCTATGTGACTTTGGGGAAATCTGAAATTGAAAACGTGCTTTCCTATGCAGGGACATAGCTGCCATATTAAGCAAAAGCTCTGTCGTTTATGTTTAATGCCAACTTGTCACTGATTCTCTTTCTTTTTCTGTTCTTGTTGCCAACCCAGATCACTGGGAGTACTGTCAAGACTACTTTCATGTTATCTTAAAATTCCACGAGAAATGAAAAGTATAGTATAATAATTCACCAACCCATATTGTGAAGATTACAGTGATTGTCATATCAACGTATAGCCATCATTTACATTACAATTTGCCACAGAGCAGCTTGAAACCAAAATATCAACATCAAATGAAAAACATAGCCTTTTGCCCAAACCTCAACATTGTCGGAGCTGTACTAAAACTTGTGTTTTGTCTCTTTTCAGTCACATAAGGAAAGCCTGCTATACTCACTTTGAGGGGTGGTATTTGGAGTCGGAGTACCCACTTCTCCAAGGGCTGTGGAAGATACAGCTGGATATCCTATTTTGAAAACGAAATTCCCAAATTATTGTAGGCGTTTACATTCCCATGTTTAATATGCTGCTGTATCTAACAAGGGTGGCATGCAGAGCGGGAATATTAAAGAAGGAAAGAACTTAGTGAATACGTAGTCTAATGACTTCATTTTATCAACTATGAAACTGAGTCCAAAAGGCATATGCCTGTGGCTACATAACCAATATTCAATATCATTTATATGATATTAATCCAGTTCTCCTATCTCCAAGTGTAGTACATTCACACTTTCAAAATACATTGTTTGAGTGTCCACTGTGTGCCAGACTCCAGTCTACACACAACAATGAAGACGAGGTTCTTGCCCTCATGGAACTTACCTTGTAGTGAGTTTTCACAATTGTACACAAATTTTCATATGTGCAATATGGTTACTTATCTACTTTAGTTCTTAGCTTTCAAAATCACCCTCATCTTTATAGTCCATCATTTCCCATTCTTCTCTTCTCTCTCTTCCTCCCAAAATGAAAGACTTATTCATATTCATTTGAAAATATCTCTAGGGTTGAAGCAATACCCAATACACTCCATTGAAAACATGGTCATATCTCTTGGAAAACAAATATATTTAAGGTTGCTTCCATAAATACTCAATTCAAGAAGATAACAGAAGTAGATAGAAAGGGAAACTCAAGGCAAGGAAAATAGAGTTAGAAAAAGTATGTTGATCCCTGTCGAAACCTGGATGGGGATAGTACACAAAATGCATTTCTTGATGTTGTGTACTCTTAATAGATATGGGTCCAAAATTTAGTCAGAACTTTCTAGTAATGATGCTAAGAAATAAAGAATATATGTTATGCCATTAATGGCTATCATAGGATAAAACCAGTCCATTTTCAAGAGAAACACAGCTACTCTTTTTATTGTGATTAAAAACAAATTTCTCCCCAGTCTTTTTTTTTAATCCTTTTTAAAAATTTCATTTAATTATTCATTTGAGAGAGAGAGACAGAGAGACAGAGAGAACAAGCAGGGGGGAGGGGCAGAGGGAGAGGGAGAAGCAGGCTCCCCACTGAGCACGAAGCCCGAGGCAGGACTCTATCCCAGGACCCTGGGATCATGACCTGAGCCGAAGGCAGATGCTTAACTGACTGAACCACCCAGGCGCCCCCTCCCCAGCCTTTTAGAAAAGAATACTGTATACTGTGTCTAATATTCTTAACAATATCCTTATAGTATGACAGTACGCTCATTCGCTTGTAGGCTTGAGTTAGTAATGAATGGCATCCCACCTTCCCAGGCACCTCAGTTCTGGAAAATGACATGCTTAAATAAAAACATGGATAATCAAATCTCTGAAAAAAATACATGTAGGATACATAAATCAATTGGCCTCATGGCTTATACCAATCATCTATAAGTGATGTACAGAAATGATTAACATCAATCATTTTGCAATGTAGGCTGCTAATGGACACCAATGACACCCTCCACCTGAGCTCCAGGAATACAGTCAGACATGGGCAGATGCATTAGAGGCTGCCTCACATGGTGCTATATGAGGAACTAAAACGGGCAACCAGCATCAGGATGGCAGATAAAATGTTTTAAATACTGAACATGCACAGCTTCATTTATCCAACAAATATTTATTGAGTGCTCGGTGTGTGTGAGAATTGGGGATGAAGTGAAGAGAGAAATATTGCTCTTGCCCCCACAATTTAGTGAGAATATAGGTCAGTGTGTCAGACTATCAGCTGGTCACCAAACCCATTCTTCTCTCTGGTACAGAAGAACTATATCTCTTAGCCTCCTGTGTAGTTGGTTAGGTGTGGCCGTGTACTAAGTCTTAGCCAATGGAACATGAGTGGGAGTGATGGTTGTCATTTCAAGACCTGATGTGTAAAACCTTCCATGATCTTCCCTCATGTGCTATCAGATATTATGATGCAGGGGGACTTAGAAGTCACAACTTAAAGATGACAGACCCGCTAGAAGCCTGGGTTCTTGAAAGACCACGTGGAACAGAACACCCAGCCACGGATCAGAGAGTGAATTTGAATTGTATTTCTCTCATTGAGATGGCTTTATCTTCATCCTTATCTGCAGCAATTCCGTCACTAACCTATTTTATTTATTTATTTTTCAAGTTCTATTCAAATTCTAGCTTGTTAACAGATAGTGTAATATTGGTTTTAGGAGTAGAATTTATAGTGATTCATCACTTACATACAACACCCAGTGCTCAACACAAGTGCCCTTCTTAATGGCCATCACCATTTAGCCCATCCCCCCACCCACATCCCTCCAGCAACCCTCAGTTTGTTCTCTATAGTTAAGAGTCTCTTATGGTTTGTTTCCCTCTCTTTTTTTTTTTTTTTTAAGATTTTATTTATTTGACAGAGAGACACAGTGAGAGAGGGTTTTTTTTTTTTTTAAAGATTTTATTTATTTGACAGACACAGCGAGAGAGGGTTTTTTTTGTTGTTTCCCTCTCTTTTTTCCCTTTCCATATATTCATCTGCTTTGTTTCTTAAATTCTACATATGTGTGAAAGCATATGGTATTGTCTTTCTCTGACTTATTTCACTTGGCATAATACACTCTAGCTCCATCCATATCGTTGCAAAATCCACTCTCACCACTGCTACTTAACATAGTATTGGAAGACTTAGCCTCAGCAATGAGACAACAAAAAGAAATAAAAGGCGTCCAAATTGGCAAGGAAGAAGTCAAACTTGCACTATGCGCAGACATGATACTCTATGTAAAAAACCCCAAAGACCCCACCAAAAAATTGCTAGAACTAATACATGAATTTGGCAAAGTTGCAGGATATAAAATCAACGATACAGAAATCTGTTGCATTTCTCTATGCCAGTAATGAAGCAGCAGTAACCTATTTTAAAATTTTTGTATTGTTACAGATTTTTAAAGTTACCTCATATCCTTTTAAAAATAAGGCAAGATAAAAAATGCATAGAGGGATAGAACAACTAGTCATAAGTAATCTTTGGATACTAAGAGATACTGAGAGATATGATGTGTTTCTCCTAATTAATAGAGTAAGAAAAGATGAGAGAGGAAGGGAGAAGGGAGGGGAAAGAGAAGAAAAATTCTTTCCAGGTTTTAAAAGATTCTCAGAAGGATGAAAAGAATGATCCCTTTACCCTGGGATTCCTTACATAGGAGAGAGTGAAGCTTTCGTTGTTCGTCAACAGTCTCTTAGCTCACCTCCCATAGAGGTCCTTCCTTCCTTCCTTCCTTCCTTCCTTCCTTCCTTCCTTCCTTCCTTCCTTCCTTCCTTCCTCCCTTCCTCCCTTCCTCCCTTCCTCCCTTCCTCCCTTCCTCCCTTCCTCCCTCCCTCTCCTCCACTCTGAGAACTGACCTCCATAGAATTCACTGAGGGATTTAGTAAGTGAAAGCAGAAAGGAATGGTTTTAAAGTAGTGATGTGATAATAATGGTGAGAATAATGATATAGAAAAAGAGGTAAGAGGTAATCATCAGAGAACTTTGTATTTATTTGTAGGCAATATTACCGTTACCTAGAAATCTCAGTCTAATAAGCAACTGTCAGTCACCTTTTAAAACACCTCTTACTTAACAAGCAATGGACATTGTCCCCAGCCAGTCCAATTGTCCACACTGACCATTAGCTCCATGTGATTTAATTCTGTCAGGAATCAGTGGAATCCTGATGAAGTATGATAATTTGACTGAGAATTTCATTTGTATCAAAATGACTGATCAAATTTCTTTTCTGGAGAATCGGAAACTGAGGTGACATAAATCCTTGCTTACTGCAACTTTACTGCAGGGAAAGGAGAATTCATTCATTCGATTCCACCTAACGTGTTGTTCTTGGACCACACGGGAGGAGGAACAGTGACGGCCCCAGCCTCACGCACTGCCGTGATCTTTGTGTTGCTGTGCCTCTTGCCTGGCATAGATATCAGCGCTGTTCTATGCTTCCTCTCACGGGCCTGTAGACTATATTGAGGGCTGAATGTGTGCCAATAAGCTTCCGGAAACAAAAAGATCAATGACACCCGTCAATATCCCCAGGGAACTCAAGCTCAATTCAGTCTTCTCCGTTTCCAGCTGAATTTTGTTTCGGTCTTGGCCTGAGGGTCTGTACAGCTTGCACAGGTTATTGAAAAAAATGATCCCTTTACTGTGAGGCCTTGTTCCTCACGGGCAAGTCAGCGCTAAAGCCATTTAGAAAACTATCTACTTCTTTAGGTTAATTAAATGCCACCCACTCGTCTTGGCTTTACACTATGCTTCGAGGTTAAGGTTCCTTGGCATTACATGACCTGACCTCTAACAATCTCCACATTGTTATCTCTTGCTACTCCCTTCCTATGTTCTTTCATTTATTGACCCAGCATTTGGGAGCCTCTATCTTCCAGGCATTGCACTTAGCACCGAGGGCACAATGATCACCTCCCTTGGAACTGGAATTCATAGAGGATATGGACATCAACCAGAGATTCACAGAAATCAATCCAAATATGAGAACACATGAAAGAGGGAATGGCTTATTTAGAGTCCCAGGAAGGCTTCCCTGAGGAATGGGGTGGGGAAGTGGGGGCAGGGGAGGGGAGGTGGGAGCCTCCAGGCAGAGGACACATTGCAAAGGCCCAGTGGGAGGTCTCATGTACTGTTAGTAACAGCACTGTGTGGTATGTGCATGTCTATTCAGGGCTGGGGCTTTATAAGCCCTCAACAAGGGTTTGTTCTGTGCATTGAATTGAACTGAGTGTGAGATTGCAAGGCATCACTTGTCACAGTGCATACCCATGGCCCCAGCAGCAGAGGACAGTGATCAAACTGTAGCATACCAGTAGCAGGAACACTGCTTCTTTCTCAGGGATGTTTGTGTGTGTGTGTGTGTGTGTGTGTGTGTGTTCAACGATTTTATTTATCTATTTGTCAGAGAGAGAGAGAGACAGAAGCCTAACCAGGGGGAGCGGCAGGCAGAGGGAGATGCAGGCTCCCTGCTGAGCAGGGAGCCCG